GGAAATGCTGGAAAACTCACTGGTGATCTCTACTGAACAATTTCAGTAGCCTTTCCAGAGCCTGTTGATCAGGACAAGATTCAAACTTGCTCACAAAACAAGTCTGAAAAATCTATTCATGGCTATTGCTATAATCAACTTTAGATTGTCTTTAAAGAAAATTCTGCTATGCCTCCAGATGTCGATTCTACTCAAGTAGCCTTTAACTCTGCATTTATTAATGGGTAGAACTGAGGCTTTTCCCTTTTATTTTATTTTTAATTTTTTTTCTTTATTGATTTTAGAGAGATATAGAAACATTGATGAGAGAGAACATCGACTGGCGGCCTCCTGCGTGCCCCCCACTGGGGATCGGGCTCACAACCTGGGCATGTGTCCTGACCAGGAATCGAACCGGTGACCTCTTGATGCGTGGGTTGACGCTTAACCACTGGACTGTCCACACCGGCTGGACAAGGCTTTTCCCTCTTAGTTAAAAGGACCAAAATGGAATGGGGACTATGTCCACTCTAGATTTGATTTATTGGGTAAATAAGCTTCCTCACCCTAGGTGAGCCACCTAGAAGTAAGACTAAGGATTTTTTGTTTTTGTTAATTCTCACCTGAGGATATTTTTCCATTGATTTTTTTAGAGAGAGTGGGAGGGAGGGTGCGGGGACAGAAAAAGAGAGAGAACATGGATCAGTCGCCTCCCACAGGACCAAGCCTGTACCCCCTTCGGTGTACAGGTCCACACTCTGACCACTGAGCCACACCAGCCAGGGCTCATGAGATTTTTAATTTTCAGCTCTGGCCAATGAAGCCCCTTATACAAAACCAAAAGTCTTTTTGCGTCTGCTATTATTTCAAAGAGTCGAGATACTGTAAAATAGATCGTCCCAAATGTAAGTACTTCAGGAGCTGTCAGCCTTCTTAACCAGCCTTTCCAAGGTCTTCCTAATCCCGATGACGGACTCCAAGGACCTACAGGGGCTCTCCCCAATTCTCCCCCTTACTCGGCTTGGAGAAACTTCTCTCCAAACCGAGAAGGACTTCTCTGTCCCGTTGACACCAGAGCCACTGTGGGTGCTCAGCACACTACTACCAGGCAGCCCCGCCTCCGAGTAAGGAAACAGTTCGGGGGGGGGGGATTTCCAGCAAACCGCAGGGGGTGCCTGTCTCCCAAAAGTCCCTTCTGGTTCAGGCCCTTTGGGAGAGAGTTTCTTTGTCTCCCAAAAGTCCCTTCTGGTTCAGGCCCTTTGGGAGAGAGTTTCTTAGTTCCTTCATTCTTCTGCCTATTTATTTATTAGGCCAAGACATCCCAAAGAAATATCATGCCAAAATGTCTTTCTCATGAAGGGGGGGAAATCATCCTAAGCTTTGCCAGTAGCTCTCAAAACAGCCAATCGGGGAACTGAGCGACTCCTTGGCGTCTTTCCTTTGCTCCATTTCTGACGGCACCGTGGCACGTGTCCCACTGGGATCAGCTGCCATCCTCTTCGTGGGCAAACGCTTCAAGTGATATTGGCAAAACCCACAGTGCACCACTTACTAAGATCAAATAGATCCCTCAAACCCCTTCCCAGAATTAATCAACATCCCATAAGTCAAGAGGTCCTTCAAGGTAGAAAACCCATAATAGAAGATTACAGAACTCCAGGCCCTAGTCCCTCCAAGTTACCTATGAGAAAACCCAAGGGCCGAGGGTGGGGGTTTTTCCAGGACCTCTGTCTGGGCAATAAACAGCATTGTTATCCCTGACACCCTACTGTTCCTCACCCTCACACCCCACTAGCGTCTCTCCCAGCTGGAAGTAAGTTCCTTACGTAGTTGATTGATGCCGTGCGTTATCGGTCCAGGGGACCAGCTCGCCATTACCTTTGTGCCTGCCCTTGGGCGGGAAACAGGGCACCTGGCTGGTAATCCCGCAGGATTCTGCCGAGAGCCCTTCTTATTTCTCACAGATCCTGAGGGCTGGGTTGGATGGTGTGACTTTCTCCGAAGGTTCTCCTTTGTTGCAGTACATGGATGATTTGTTTCTGTCTCCTCCTCCCAGGTCTTCTCACAGGAAGACAGCACCTACCTTTTAGAACGTTTAGCCCGAAAGGAAATGAAATCTCTAAAGAAAAATTATTTTGTCTAAACCCAGATTCGATATTTGGGGCATCTGACATCAGAACAAGGATGACACCTGGACCCAAACAGGCTTCAAGGTGTCCTAAATTCCCAAAGGAGCCGCAACTGGGAGGCTTTCTTGGGCTACTGCCAAAATTAAATTCCGAATCTCTTTTATGGCAAAACCTTTGTATGTTTTACTAAATAATGACAGCCCTAACCCAATTTTATGGGGACGACATAGCCTTCCTTTTAAGCCTCACAGAAGGGTTTAATGAACACCTCTGCTCTTGGACATCCCCAAAATATGGGCACCACCGTAGGCCTGTAGGGCATTAGTTAGCACCTGCTGTGGCTCAGGGACACCCCCCCTTGCTGGAGCCATTACTGCCACAGCCCTTTTGGTTATATCCACAAAGGACATTGTTTTGGGGATCCCATTTAACCACCCTTGCACCCCATGCAGTAAGATCCCTCCTGAATTCTCACCAGCATCTTTTGGTTCGTCACCTTACCTCCTTTGAAGTAGGAAGTCCTTTTCTTTAACTGCTCCTCACATAACTTTTTTTTTTTATTATTCTTTTTTCTTTATTAATTTTAGAGAGAGAGGAAAGGAGAGAAAGACAGATACATCGATGAGCGAGAACATCGATTGGCTGCCTCCTGCATGCCTCCCACTGGGGATCGGGCCCACAACCTGGGCAAGTACCCTGACCGGGAATCGAACTGGCAACCTCTTGGTGCATGGGTCGACGCTCAACCACTGAGCCACAGGGGCCGGGTGAACTCTTGAATGTTGTAATAAACTTAATCTAGCTTCTCCCCCCACCCCACCCCACACCCCCCGACACTGACAAAGCTCTTCACAACTGCTGAAGAATCCCCCCACTCTGCCGGTGATGACCTGCAGGAGGCTCCTCGGGCAAAGCTGATCTCTCTAGTTCACAGGTGGTGCATATTTAACGAGTAAGATGGGAGTTGACTCTTGAGTTCATGTATCACACTGAAGGAAGTATCACCAAACCTTGATTGGAACCACACACAGAAGCAGGCAGCGACTGGAAGAGACAGCTTTCCCCCAACCACCAGACCAGGCCTCTGTCACCTTTTCTTACTGTTGCTTCTTACTTTCCTTCCCTGGTTTTTCTTAGAAGGAAAATGTCCTTGTCCACATTTCCCGCTCTCTTTGAAAGGGGAAACCTCTCCAGTTGCTGAATCTGTCATCAAGAGCTTCAATCTGTCCAAGACAATAATGACCCCTTATTTCACTACTTTCAGGTTTGAGCTCCTGGTTTGGAATCATACAGACTAAGTTACGTTGTTTTTAATTTGGCTCTATATTCTTCTTGTTGTTAAGCTCTGCACCTGTTGCCTGTTGAACCTAGACATGAGCAGTTCCAGTCCCTGCACGTTCCCTCAAAGGTGAAACCAAACACCCAGAAGAGGTTTCTCCTAGTGTGAAGGGACAAAAGGCCACGTTCTGGGGGATGTCCGAGAAGTCAGACTTGACTGCTGATCAGCTTTCCGAGAAAGATCTCTAACAAAAGGGAGAATGTCAAATTTTATGATAGAGACCATAACCAAGACAGGAAGAAGGGCCGCCTGTGGGAGGAGCTCTCACACCCTATACGAGGAAACCTTACAGGACCGGCTCTAAGGCTACAACAGAGCTCTCTGGTTATGACAGCTCTCTTCATGTGCACGGCCCCCCGTCTGCACACCCAGGACTGCAATCCAGATCTGTTCTCTGGTCCTTGGAACTGCTGAGCTGAGCCCCGCCTGGGACATCGGCAGTTCTGGAGAGGCAGCTGCACGCCAATGAGCAGCCCGCGGTCAGCCCAGAAGTCCCAACAGGAGGAGAGGTGGTGCTGGCTGTCGAGGCTCAGCCAGTCCTCCAGAACTAGGCAACTGGGCCACGCAGGGCAAGGAGAGCTGGAAGACGTGAAGCTTTGGGAAAGCCGTTGGACCATCCCTATAGAAAAACAGCCAGCGACGACAAAGCAAGCCCATTTGGTGGTTTTGGGGGGGCAGGGGGGAGGTCAGACAGAAATGCTTTTAAAATGAATATCAATTGCGTTTTTATCACTAGAAGTTCCAAGGTGGCCGTTTTTAAACTTGAACAACTGGAGTCACATGGCGGGCTTGCTAGAACAGATTGCGAAGGCCTCACCCCAGAATTTCTGATGCAGTGAGTCAGGGAGAAGGCCTGAACCTGTCTTTGTAGCAATTTGTTTAGGTGATACTGACGCTGCAGTCTAGGGACCACATGTTTGGTGTGGGACCATCGTCATATATGTGGTCCGTCGCTAACCTACACATTATGTGGTGCGTGACTGGACACAGAAACTCTTGCATAGAGATGGCTCTAAGGTAACTTCATCTGTGAGCAATGGGGAACTTCTGAAGTATTTCCTTAGAGATCAATTGTTGACAACAGTGTAAGTTACCTGTCAAATTCTTTAGGACACCTAGGCATCGTTCCTATCCATAGAGTCATCACGACGAAACTCCCCAAAGTCCATACTTGAAGCACAAAAACATATATGAGTTGCTGAAGTTTCTGAGGTGAGGCGAAGGTTGAATAACTCTGCAAATGTTTCCCTTGCCTCCTATTTTTCGAATCCCTGGAGGCCTTTCCTGTGGCCTGGGGTGTGGAGAGCTGGACTCGATCCTACTGTCAGAGCCCCAGACGCAAAGGCCACGTGAGACAAAAGGCCTCCGTCAGACGCAGGTCTGTCAGCCAGGTAAGGAGGTCAACAGAGCAGCCCCCCAACAAACTCCAATGGGTGGTCCATGTCTCTCTGCTAAAAATGGGGAATCTTTAGGAATCAGACAAGAAAACATTTTTATAAAGAAATTTTATTGCATAGTTCTTGTATACAATAAACATAGGAAAAGGGTTTTTTTTTAATGAAAATTTCTCATCATTTTCAAAAGTCTTGAATTGTTGGAAGAAAAATTATTACAAAGCTATCTAAGGCAAAAATAATATTGGACCTTCCAAACAAACGATAATCCTTTTCATCAGATTCTGTACTTAAAGCAAGACATTTTCTATTCAATTAACACGGAAAAGCTTTTAAATTATTATGTCATTTGCATTAAGAATTTAAATGCATCTAAGAAGTGAAAAGTTTAAACACATAGAAATGTTCTCTACTATGGTATATACTGCTGCTTTCTTCCGATCCATTCTGCATGACTGTCTGGACATACTTTGTACACACCAGCAGAAACCTGCATCTCCTAACGGTGCAGCGAGGGCTGAAGCAGAGAGGGAAAGTCCCTGCATTTCCTATGCTAAATGGCATAGCTCCCACAGATCACATACACCTCGCCATATTGACTCAGTTCATTGCACTCCATATCCTGCAAAAATAAATCTAGTGCTCGACAGCTGACATTATTGCTCACTGACATTTTAGTAATATATTTCCTTAACATAAGACAGAAATACACTGGAATTTGATACCACTTAAACTCAAAAGCAATCTGGAATCAAACCACATGCATACACCCCACTTTTTTTTTTTTTTTTTTTCCGATGGATGTTACATTTTTCTTAACGTTGATGCTGGAAAACGTGGTAGAATAAAAACTGGCTTCCCGTGAAACAAAGACTAATGATTAAAAACAGAGTTGTTGTTTTTTATGGGTTTTTTTAGAGAAATGTTTAGCCCTATAATAAAAATGAAGGAACAATGAGAACCCAGAATCTCTGGGGAGAAGAAAGAAGCCCCTCGTTCATCTTCCTTGTCTATCCCAACACTGTGGCTCGTGTCCAGCAGACCCCGGGGCAGGCCACCACACATTACTGGAGTGATGTGAGAAGTGCTGTGTGCGCCCCCAAAGGGGACACTCACACTGCGACAGGAAATGTCCCGGGAGACCCATCTTTGGCCGTCTGCCTCCACAGGGGATCTTTGGGTCACTGGGAAAGGTTGGGGCTCCCTCTGTGAGGTTGGGAACAGCTTCTGAGATGGTCTAAATGCTGAGACTTCCATGATCTGAAATTTTATATTTCATTTTATATCTCATTTCTACAGGGGAGTGAAACCTGCATATGCCTGAGTGACCCCAGGGCCTGCGGGGAAGCACCTGGGAGCCAGGAAGAAGGGCATCACTCATCTGGAATTGCAAAGCTGTCGCACCCATGACCAGGAAGAGCCACCGGATGTCAGGGCCTCAGCAGGAAGTGGGTAGAGACATATAAGAATGTGGACATGACCACATGGACATGTCAATTTGTCACAACTTTTCATTTTAATGACTCATTATTTCTTTAAAATTGTCAAGTGTCCCTCTTTCTTATTTTTGTCTTGTTGCGTATAAGCAAAAATGTCAATTTTCGTAAGCTTTACAAAAGTAATATTTTTCAAAAACTACATTTCAGGATTAGCATTCAAGGCTACAGACACAAAAGACACCCGCCATCGACTGTACCTGCGCACCTGGCTGCGGCGACATCAGCTTGTGCACCGCGGCTCATGTCTGTGCACAACGACATCCTTTCTGCCAGACTGAATGTTAGACAGCAACCCAGCAGGGCTTCTCCGAGTAAAACCAGCCACACCGCTACAAAGAAAAATTTCTGGCTCTTAGCCCAACTGTTTCCATACCAATCAGCTAAGTCAACCTCCTTTCTGCTTCTTTCCATTTCAAATGCCTGGGTTTCAGCCTTTGAGGCAATTAGATCCAGATCAGTTTAATTTCACAATGCTGATCTTAAAAATTTTGCCCTGAGAGTGTCAATTATTTTACAAATGTTGTAAGTCTCCGTTTATACATGAAGAACAGGCACGGAGAGGCTAAATGGCTTGTCTCTGGTCACGTGATGGATCAGTGTCCAGGGTGGGATTCGAGCTCCTCACTATTTCTATTTTCACCCCAAGCTCTTTCCGGAGTCCCCCTGAACCTGTGCACGAAGTCCCTCCCTTTGGGTTCTGTTTGTCACTGCGGGGCCTTGTCAGCTCTCCGGGATAACACTGGCTACTTCACGAAGCACCCAGGACATCCTCTTTGGTCTCTGCTTTCTGATTTCTGCTGCCTCGCTGAAGTGCGTTGTTCCCCATGTGTGATTTTACACAGTGGAATTCACCACAATGCCCTTCCAGATACAGCCGCTGTTAGGTGTGCAGGGATGGGCTCAGAACAGGCAAAGGCAGGTGTTCTTCCTTGTGAACCCTGGACAAAGTGGGGCTCCACATTTTAGAGTTGTCTTACATTCCAGAGTTTTCAGTGGAAAATAAAGCCAAGGCCGAGCCGTGAGGTAATGTTTACTCCTCTGCCACAACACTTGGTGCACCCCCTCAGGTCTGGCAACAATTTAACATAAGGAAAGACTTTAGACCTTCACACCCTTTTAGTGAGAATAAACGACCTTAGCTCAAACTGTCCACAGAGCTGAGAAGTCTCGGGAGACATCACTCCATCCTTATCTGTACAAATGCCTCAGGGCCATGTGTCTCGCAGGTCTCGGCGCCCTGCACTTCTGAGCTCCGGTCTCTACAGTGCACAGGTCTCGATTTCACGTCTGAAGACCAAGCACCTCTGCCTCCTCAGCAAGGGGGAGGGGACCTCAAAAGAAGCTATGTGCATGAAGAAAATAATGCCGAAGGGTACTTAAGTGGCTTGGGAAGAAGCTTCACAGAGCTATGTTGGTTCACTACAGTTATAAACAGTTCTGGATCTAGTCAATAGCAAAATACACTGGTGGCCAGGGCCTCTGTTTAAGCAAAAGAAGAAATATATCAATAGCACAAAACTGCCCTTATATTCTTTTGAAAAAATATATCTAAGATAGACAATTCTGCATTCTGTTAACAAGCTGTGCACTAAGAGCACTTGTTCCCATCGCTCCCGGGACTCTACAGCTCCGTTCTGTCCGCCGGGGCTGGGCCGGGCGCCCCACTGCCCGTGTCGGCCCCGCTGCCATCGGCAGGTGTGAAGGACAAGGATGCCGAGTTGATGCAGTATCTCTTGCCGGTTGGACGGGGCCCGTCATCAAAAATGTGCCCGAGGTGAGCGCCACACTGAAAGAGAAGAACCAAATGTAAGCGAAAAGCGCGTACAAAGCAGGCTTTGAGCGGAACTCACGTTAAGGAGTTTGAATGGATGACCAGCCTGTAGAGAAACGATGGAAACCATCGCGGGTGATTTCTCATCCGCCTGTCAATAGCTGCAAAGACGGTTTCTGGCAGGCTCTGCACCACATGCTGAGAAGAAAAAGCACTAGAATTGTGCATATCAGAAATCATTTAGGAGCCACTGTATTGTTTGATCTGTGAAGTCTCTCAGCCAGCTGAAAAATGACTGCAGTAATTTTATGAATTGAGTTGACCCTTGATCTCCTCTTGTAAGAAACATGGCAGAATAAAATCTCTCCCCCCTGGCATTACTTTGGCTTTGGATGGGTGGGTTTCAGATATGCAGAAGTCCACTGTAAAAGACACTGTTTAACTGGCCATGACGGAGGTGATGTTTGCTTTCATGGGCAGTAAAACTTAACATCAGAGAAGCACTGGACGCTCTCAGAACCCAGCAAAGCGAAGGCTCAGTGCACCGGCCGCGGTCACCAGGACCGCAAGTGTGGCAAATGCAAACGCTGCTGGTCCACACACTCTTTTTTCTGGCTTCCCATAGGTGGAGCGCTGTGCCGGCGTCATTGCCCGCGTGAACTGTATCATCATGTGAAGAAGGAATAAGCTGTTTCGCTGAGATCCCTGCTACTGACTCCCTAGAAAGCTGGGGAAGGGGAAGAGGCGTGGAATCCAGGCAGATGGTGTTTAAGAGAAATGCAGCCCAGAGAAAATGTCTTGGAAAAGGCTGGCTCGCTGAAGACAGCCCTGCACTGCGGCTCCGCTGCTGGGGACGCTCCAGGAGGCCACAGCAGGGACCGCACTCACCCCTCCCCCTCCCTTTCTCCCAGGGGCAGGGTGCTGGCTGCAGGCCTCGGTGCACCCGCATTCCAACAGACTTCGAAAACACATCGTTAGTCATGTCACAAAGAAACCAAAGCCTGGGGCAAATGACTTCCATTCACTCCTTTAGTAACTATGTACGGAGGCCTGCTAGGTGCCAGGCGCTGCCCCAGACTCTGGAGACAGAGGACCACCCGGCCTCATGGAGCTTCCATTCTCATGGAGAGACCGATGATACAGCACAAGGACGCGCAGGAACTGTGAAGTGTGGCAGTGGAAAAAAGTGATACGAAGTGTCAGGAGGGGGGCTTACATTTTAGGTGTGGTGGTCACGGGCGGCTTTCCTGGGGTGACTTGGGCAGAAAGAAGAACCTGAAGTGAAGGAGTGGATATCTAGGGGAGGGCACTTCGAACATATGGAAGAGTCGAGATTTAGGGAAGAACATGAGAGAACAGGCATACGGATGATTTATTCATTCTTCTCACTGCTTGTTTGGTGTGTAAAACACAAATCGCAGAAAAAGAAAGTAGGAGCTGACAAGGAATAAGGGCTAAGATACCAAATGGACACAGTGCTCATTACAATGGCAAGAACTAGAATCTCGGTTTCCCCACGGAAAGCGCTCAACTCAACTCTCGAGGGTTCTCCAGTTATTAATAAATAGCACAAATAGCGAGTTCGACTACATGGCACTTCCATGTTAAAAGTGCATTCTTATTTTACTGCCAACATACTGTGTCAGCTTATTAAAGAACTAAAAACGAACCCTGAACTGATTTGATCTATTGCCTGGAAAATATGAAACAGGCCTAAAAAAACAACTCTTGCATTATTTTACCACATTCTATGCCGGTTTAGGTAATATCAAGGCTGACAGCTCAGACTGCTTTTCCTTTCTATAAACAATTGAGGCCAAAATTTCAGGCATCGGCAGCTAAGATGTATCAGTAAAAAGTGCATGTGCGCACCCAGTGGACACAGGAACACACCCATTTCTGCCCGAGGAGCGCGCAGGCCAACAGAACTGGCCTCTCAGGACCAGTCCATGCCCACAGCTGTGGGCTCACAGGCAGCTCCGGAACTCGATCACGTGGCATCCGAGAGGCGGAGTTTTCACATAAAAGCCTCCGATATATATATCTATATATATATTTTAATGAGTGAATACAACTATCCAGCCAAAATAAGTGATATAGTCTTTATTAATCATCTCTTGGGCGTATTTAGAAAACAGTCCTGTTTACCTTATTCCAAAAATAAAGCACCGTCAGGATATACCTGAAGCCATTCAGGAGTATTCGTATGGTCTTTATTTCCCAAATCATTTGTAAAAATTACAAATTAGGCAACAAAAACCATTTGCAAACAACTGTAGTGGGTTGAGGTGGGGTAGGGAAAGGTGTAAAACTGAGAATGACAGAGTCGGCATGCTTGCCACGGGTTTCTGGAAGATTCACACCCAGCTCAGATCGTGGAGAAAGGAGCAACGCTGCCAAGCAGAGCGAGGTGCCCATTTCTATCTGTGCCACCACGTACCGGCCCACCGCCCCAGCCTGCCCAGCCGAGAGGCCATTGTAGGAGGGAAGCCTAACCACACGGCACCCTGTCTGCATCGTCCCAGGAACATCTAGTCTCACATAAAAGACTGTTGCCGGGTTTCTCTTAAAAGTGCACAAGCCCTGAAGGCTCCTCCCTGGGAACCACATGGAGCCCATTCTTCCCGCGGCTGCGGCGCGCGAAGGCGGGGATGATGAATGGAAGTTGTCAGTGATGCGTTGTTTCTTCAGCCGCCCGCAAGCTCTGCCTGCCCGGCCCCAGCCAACTGGCAATGTGTCGGGCTCTCTCAGCACACCTGGTTGTAACTGAAACAAACTAGTTGCCCGAAATCTCAGAAACCTGCTGTTAATGATTTATTTCAGGGTAGAATCTTTGGTGTGCATTTTGAAAGTTGTTTTGAAGTGATTATGTATTTCTGTATTTTACAGGTAAAATACAAACTATGACTATTCTGAAGAAGCATGAGATAATTGTTCAAAAGAAAAAAAAAAAATTTAATTCCAACAAGAATCCTTTATTGCCCTGGCCAGTTTGGCTCAGCGGTTAGAGTGTCGGCCTGCGGTCTGGGGAGTCCAGGGTTCGGTTCCCGCTAAGGGCACGTACCTCGGTTGCAGTTTGTCCCCGGCCCTGGTTGGGTCGTGCGAGTGGCAGCCACTCGATGTGTCCCTTTCACGTTGATGTTTCCCTCTCTCTCTCTTCCTCCCGCTCTATCTGAACAAAATATAAAAAGTGTCCTCAGGTGAGGATTAAAAAAGAATCCTTTATCACCTAAGCCTCCCACTCAGAAAGTTGGCAACTAAAGAACCTGTAGAGAACCCAGAAGAAAAGTGACTGAGCATCCGATTTAACATAAAATCTGACTGCAGTTCCCAATCGCGGGCATAAGAAACACAAATAGTGCATTCAACACAGCTACATACTTCTGCACTGATGTATTTCCAACTGTCCTGGAGGGCTTTCTCCCAGCTAGCCCTGGGATGCTTGGGGCTTTATTATTGTCATTTTCTCTTAAGTGTTTGATCTGCAAGATGAAGTAGTTTCAAAGCAGGGCTTTCACACTTGGGCACATGGGGCAGGATGGGAAGGAGGAAAGAGTTTTCAGAAGAAAAGCAATTTACTTTGCCAGTAGTATCCTGTTTTCTCCTACCGTTATTGAAGACACTTGTGTGTAAGAAGGGCTCTTTTCCTCTGTGCTTATGAGATTAATCTTTTGCCAAGGAAATGATTGTAAAGTCACCAGTTTAGCATTATGATTTTACTGGAAGATCAAGAAACAGAGAGATGGGCTGTGAGTCTGAAACCCTATTGGAACACATGGGTATCTTTAATCATCAGCAATAGATGAGTTGTCATCTGCAAAAGATGAATAAGGTTTGGGGTTTTACCAAAAACTGCTTAACTTTTGAAAAATACTTTGTATTGATGGGTATTTACCTTTCTGTTGATTTGGCTGAGTTAGAAGAAATTAATAATGATCTAAAACAAACTTTTGGGGCTCAATCATAGGTTCAAGCAGTAGTAGCCGCGGTCATAAAGAGACTCCAACTTTGGGTAAACTCAGGAATCTGATGGTTTCCTTAAAGATTATTACAAAAAGTTATGTGATTTATTGGTCTCCCATTTGCTTTAGATGTAGAATTTTGATTTAAAGAAGGAAGTATTTCCAGGAGGACCTTCCTTCTCTGAACTACAGCTTAAACCATGCAAATCTTTGCACTGAATTTAAACTCCTGACAAACACTGATGAACGGGCTGGGGTTGGAGGATTAGGGAGAGCTGTCAAACAATTATTCCTAGTAGTCAGTGCAACTGGAATAGAAGCATGTATTTTATCGCTGACTGCAAAAGGTAAATTAAATAAAATTAAGGAATATTCTTGCCTAGCTGGTGTGGCTCCGTGGTTGAGCATCGACCCATGCACCAAGAGGTCGCCAGTTCGATTCCCGGTCAGGGCACACGCCCAGGTTGTGGACCCAATGGGGGGCAAAGAGGAGGCAGCCAATCGATGTTTCTCCTCTCATCAATGTTTCTATTTCTCTCTCCGTCTCCTGTCCTCTCTCTCTAAAATCAATAATTAAAAAAAAGGAATATTCTTTATAACTGAAAATTGTTAGGAAGTTGCTGCAGCCAGCCAGAAGGTGCTGGTGCCTACCAAAAGCAGGCAAATTTAAGATAAAAATCCTCTTTGGAAGAGATAACTGGAATATAATCCCTCAATTCAGTAGGGAGAATAGTAAAAGAGAACAAACATGATTGCAACAAGACCTGGAAGGGAACAGTGTCGCCCAGCTCCTCCCAGCAGGCCCCTGGCGGAGTGGGGAGGAGCCTGCACCTCCCTGCTGGTCTCGGGGCTGCTGACCGGGCTGCTGACCCCAGAGAGCGAGACAGCGAGAGAGCAGGCAGAGTGCTCGGCTCCTTACACAGCGATTCTTCCAGAAGGGCCTGGCTGCAGTGTCTCTCCGAGAAGTGGAGACAGCACTGAATCAAGCTTAACTTTCTCTATAAACTTTTACTACAATATTACTAGCTAAGAAGTCACTGGACGCATGGGAAAACTACAATGCAGTGTGAAGAGGTGGTAGGTTACGGCTCCCAACACGCTCGCAATCTCTACCCTGAGGCCCAATTCACTGCATGGTGGGTATGGTGTGATCCATACCACAATTTTTAAAAGTAAGAATAAGAATACTAAATATTAAAGCAGAATTAGGGACCAACAAACTAAAAAAAATGTCGCCATCCTGCCCGGCAAGCGGGCGGAGTGGACTGGTTTCGCCCCTGGAAGGAAGTTCGTCTGTATAAGTTGGCAATAAAAGAGGCTGTTTGAAAACTGTGCCCTTACTACAAGGAAAGAAGTGCTTCCCGTAACAGGTCCGACTGAGAATGTCTATGAGATGCTAAAAGCATCTAGCAGATTCTTCATAACACAAACCACACTGGTGCAATTCAATCCGGAGAAAGAATGAGACGTGAATTCAAAATACAACCTATTTAGAAAGAGGAGTTTCCCACACCCTATCATATCAAAAAAAAACAAAAAGGTGGGACAAGTTGTGAGCAGGGGAAGAGACGACACAAACGGAAAGAACAGAAGGCAAAAGAAGAGAAACTGATCCTGGAAACGTGTGTTTAAGAATGAGAAGCTAGGAAGTAAAATACAAGTGGTTACTCGGGTATGGAAACCATTAAAGCAGGGGTTTTTTTTGTTTTGTTTTTTTCTTCAAGTCAAGATAAAAAGGAAAAATGAAAAAATGGAAAAGAGAAACTAAAGAAGAGTGTAAAAAAGGAAAATAAGCTTGTGTGTGAAACACAAATGAAGAGGCAGGGAAGTGGGTGGAGGCGCTGACTCGGGCGCGGCCGCTGCAGCCGGACGGCCCTGGTCCCGCGGGGGGTCCGGCCGACGGTCACTGCGGGCTGGAGCCCGATTATTTCATACATGGAACTTACTTCGCAAAGCATGTTTTACACATGCCTTAGAGGAACACATTTCCCTCCCTCTTCTCTTTAAACTTAAAAAAGGGTCAAACACTTTTTAACTATTAGAAGTCAAGGTGGTGGAGAAAGAAGCGGAAAGGGATCAGGTCAGTGTTAGCTCTTCACCAAACAAGATAGAAGCAGCCACCCGGGCCTTTACCCGAGGGCGGAGAGCTATGGCTGGGTTAGCTTGATGTCCTTCTGTAAATTCTGTCTAATTTTGGCACAGTTTGTGGGTTTCATTCCTCTTTGGTCACCCTCATGGTCTTTTCTTTACTACTACTGATGTTATCTCTGTGGCTGGCACAGAGAAAGGAGAAGTTTATTTCAACTGTGACTTCTAAGAATGAGTTACAAAGCCACCAGAGTGTAGGGCCTTCGGGAAAGCGTTTTTGGGTTTTTTTTTTAAATACTCACCCGAGGATATTTTTCTATTTATCTTTAGATAGAGAGAGAGTGAGAGAAAGAAAAACATTAACGTGAGAGGGACACATCGACTGGTTGCCTCCTGCACGACCCCGACCAGGGCCAGGGACAAACTGCAACCGAGGTACATGCCCTTGGCTGGAATTGGACCTGTGACTCATTGGTCCCCGGCCGACGCTCTACCACTGAGCCAAACCGGCCAGGGCAGGAAAGTCATCTTCTACCTCACTTTTTTCTGTGCCTTCTTCATGAGACTCAATGTTTGAAAGGGGGTTCTATGTGAAAAAGGAGAGTGGCAGTCATATAACAGCCTTTAAGAAAGAGTAAAGAGAGAGAAAGAAAAGAAAAACTATTAGCCTTAAAAGAGGCTAAGTATTATGTATGTACCGGTTATAAATTACTATGTATCATCCTACCAAGTTGCTATTTTGTCAAATATTTTAGATTCCTGGGTAGTTATAATTTGTTTTTGTGGCACTTACAGAAATATCAATTAAAATTCAATTGGATTCAAAATTGAATTGAATCAACTAACTTCTGGGGGAATCATAGGATTTTTTTCAATGTGACTATCTATCTATCTATCTATCTATCTATCTATCTATCATCTATCTATCTATCTATCATCTATCTATCTATCTATCTATCTATCTATCTATCATCTCTCTATCTATCTATCATCTATCTATCTATCTATCTATCTATCTATCTATCTATCTATCTATCTATCTATCCATCATCTATCTATCTCAGCACTGTAAAGAGCTCTGGAGCTAAAGACCCAAATTCAATCTCAGTTCTGCCCCTTCGATCTATGTAAATGTACATAAGTGTAATTATCCACTTTGTGCCTCAGTTTCCTCAATGGTAAAATGAGAGAGAATGATAGTATGTACATGATAAGGTCATTTTGAGTATTATCAAAGGAGCTTTTTCAAAAATATATATGTTTTTATTTATTTTTTAGAGAAAGAGGAAGGGAGAGAGAGATAGAAACATCAATGTGAGAGAGAAACATCCATCGGTTGCCTCCTGCACACCTCCTACTGGGGATCAAGCCTGAAACCTGGACATGTGCCCTGACCGGGAATCGAACCAGGACCTCTCAGTCCATGGGATGACACTCAATCCACTGAGCCACACAGGCTGGGCAACCAGCGGAGCTTTTAAAAATGCTGATGTTCAGGCCTCAACCCAACCAATTAAATTGGAATCTCAGGAGGTGAGACCCAGCTTCACAAAGTTCTACTATCTCGCTTAGAGACTCATATCTGAGAAACAAGAGTGAACTGAATATGTGACTTAGATAAAATAAGTAGTCTGCTTTTCAAAGGAGAGGATAGCTCTCATACTTGAAGACAGTACACTTGCCAACCTTATTTAAAAATAAAAAAACAGAAATCCATCAGATGGTTACGGTCAAACCAAACTCCCTCCCCACTTGGTAGTAAATATGCCACCTACTCCCAAAACTCTGGTGCCTGACGGCGGGGTTAAAGGGCGGGCAGAAGAATGCCGCGAGAGGCCCACGTGGCAATCACTCTGCTATTACAGCGGCCCGATTGTGCCCCCTTTACCTCTGATACACGCAACAGACATCCCCCAGCAAAATACTCTGGAGCATCAACGAATGTCACAGTACTCAGACCTCACGCTTCACGTCCTTGAAGCAGACAGAACAGGGCTACCTGCTGTAGCCTAGAATGTGTGCTTGCTCTTCTGTGGACAAGAAGGTTCTGGCTATGTCTCTAGGTTTAAGCGCAAAATACCCACAAATTTAAGTCTCTTGACTGGGCTGACAGATTAACTATTTCTCCCCCCTCCTCAGCACATGCTCCTTTTCTCTCTCAGAGCCGGCAGAGTAAATCTGGAGAGCAGAGTGAAAGGAATTAATCAGAACGTCCTTGGAAATGAGGATCAGTCGATATTCCTGGAGAAGGAGAGCAGGAACTACCGTCCTGTGTTTATTTCTGCCCTGCGCTCACACAGCCGACCATGGGACTTCCTCTTCCTGCTGCCATTCTCCACCTCCCTCCTCACAGCCACTCAAGGGACGCTGTGCTGGGATCTCTCCACTGTGTGCGGATCGCTGCTGTTAGAAGTACCAGGACTGAACAACGAGTGCGCAGAACTGCAGAGGGAGAAGGAGGATCTAAACATCACATTACGTCAAGGCCACAACATGAAATCTTCATATGCCTAAGAACAGCCCATTGCCCACTGTATTGAGTCAACTGACAATGACTTTTGCTACCAGTTATTTTGTCTAGTCATATGTTGAAGCCAATGACTGACGTGTAATTGGACTTGCTAAACACTTGAAGACTGAGACACCATTAAAACTTCATCAAGACTTCACTGCCTCGCTGGCCCCTTCATGATCATTCACTTGCTTTAATTGCTGCATTTAGCAAGACCGGGAGTCTTGGAAGTCTTTTCAACGCAGACTGAGCCTGGAGTTTCGGGGTGGGGGTAACTGACCTGAGAGCAGCTTGTTTCCACCCGGTGCACCCCAAAGGAGAAGTCGTCTGTGAAGGTGATGGCATCAGAACTGATCACATCGTGGAAGGCGGGCCAGCCTGGGGCAGAACAGGACCAAGAACCAAACCGGAGAGAGGAGAGAGATACAAAACCTTGGGTTAGAATGTAACTTTAAAGAAATACTAAGCAAAGAGTGGAAATCCTTAGTATATAAATAATGTTTACCATTTTCAACCTGAAAAAAAAATGTTAAAAGCTGAAAGCTAATATAATTTGCAAGAGTGCAACTCTTTTTTAAGAATAACCTTTCCTCACATTCGGACTACAGTCGCATTGGGATTTTGTTTCATGAGACATTCTTAGACCATCCAGTGGTTTCCTAGAGCATCCTTGGACTTCCATAGCTCTCTCTTCCCTCTCTTACGCTCAGGTCACTGGGCGTGGCCCTGAAGCACTATGAGTCTTACAATGTGCCACTTTCCGAAATACGATCCAATTGGTCTGACTATTAACTTTTCAACTATCCCACACTTCTTTAAGAAGTGTGCTTTTTCAGTACTTAGTTTGGATAGTTAAAATGCTAAACATTTAATATTCTGCTGTTTTCATCTTCATTTAATTCCTCAGGATGTGGGTATCTGGAAAGTGTTGCTTCTATGTCTTACACGGGCAAGAGGTTTGCTCACTTCATAGAATCATAGAACAGTGTTCTTCAGGCATTTCTGGGTAGCACCTTCTCTCAAATAGCATCTTGTTCCAATTTTCATTTATTCTAATGATTTTTAAAATATGCACACAGCTTTAAGAAACTCAATGGTAAATGGACCATAAGATTGTACAAATGTTTATGAGTGTAAAGTCAGGTTTTATGTTCAGTACTTATGGACCATAAGATTATACAAATGTTTATGAGTGTAAAGTCAGGTTTTATGTTCAGTACTTATGGGCATGTTTTTACATGTTTCCCGAAAATATGTTGGGAGTTACTGAGCTGAAACCTGCATCCCCAAAATGATGAAAGAGGTGCGATGTTGCTGAATTACTGGTGCAATTTTTTTCTTTTTCAGAAGCCAAATTTATTCCTGCAGAAAGGAGGAAACCCTTTAAAAACATGGTGCTTTGTGTTAATATACCTATTGAAAGAACACAGAATGCAAACTTCAATAATACAACTTCCAGTTTCAAACAAAACAAATTAGCTCAGGCCAAATTTTTATAAGAATTCTCTCAAGCTCCCCATTGTCCACTACACAACAATACAGCTTTCACAGTCAGTGCCCGATCTCACTCCCCGACTTTGACCACTTTCCAATTCTTTGATTTGAGTTCAAGATTGCTGCAAATCGCTAGGAAAACCTCACCCTCCTAGTTTTAACATTCCACAAAAATTAATTATGCTAAGACACACCAGTATTCTTTAGAAAACTCAATTTTCCCTATTGTCTAAATTCTAAAGAGAATCTGAACATATTCTAGGCTACAGTATTTGGTTTATAATGATTACCTGACACATTTAGGTATCCTTCTTTGTTCAATGACTGAAGTGCCAATTGCTAGTAAAGAGAAGTTTAATGGTGTTTGAGGACACTGAAAAATGTTTTATTTATGAAAAGAGAGAGAACATTCTGTATTTTTTAACATCTCATGTCATAATTCATTTGATTGCAGTGTATGACAACTACTATTGTAGGGGGACATAATTGATTCAGTAGAAAACAGGTAACGAATTAGAAGTGTTTGTTTTTTTAACTGATTTTAGAGAGTGAGAGAAGGGAGAAAGGGAAAGAGAGAGAGAGAGAGAGAGAGAGAGAGAGAGAGAGAGAGAGAACAAGCGAGAGAGAAACGTTGATGTGTTGTTCCACTCATCTATGCAGGCATTGGTTGATTCTTGTATGTGCCCTGACTGGGGATAGAACCTACAACCTTGGTGTATTGGGAGGATGCTCTAACCAGCTGAACTATCCGGCCAGGGCTTGTTTTATTTTGTTTTTAGTTTACCATAAAGCTGTTTCTACCCCCTACACACATACAATTTCCTATTTCTAGAATTAAAAATAGGTACAGAGAGATGTGTGTGTGTGTGTGTGTGTGTGTGTGTGTGTGTGTGTGTGTATTTCCCCTCCCATGCTACCCCTGTGTCATATATCACTCATCTTGTTCCGTTAGCTCACTGGCTTTGTGACTGGCTCGTTCCCATGCTTCTCTCCGTGCCTAGGTGGCAAGCACTCTGCAAGCAGAGCCTGAGCTCAGCGAACCCAGTGCGCTCACTGCCTGTCCTGGAGCACAGCACACAGGCACGGCCCAGGTGTTTGTTTGTCTGCTTATTATTTTAATCCTCACCCCAGGATATTTTTCCATTTATTTTCAGACAGAGTGGAAGGGAAAGAGAGAGAAAGAAACATCGACATGAGAGAGACACGTCGATTGGTTGCCTCCTGCATGACCCTGAGCAGGGCTGGGGATTGAACCTGCAACTCAGGTACTTGCCCTTGACCGGAATAGAACCCAAGACTCTTCTGTTCATGGGCTGACCCTCTAATCGCTGAGCCAAACCAGCCAGGGCACTCAGATGTTTATTAAACTGATTTCCAATGAGCCTTAAACAAAAAAATGGGATGAATGATTGTGCTGCCTCACAGAGTTTCACAGGAGAGAGGGACTATAACCATACTCCTCTTGTATGGACTAGATGAAGACTGCTGGTTTCTCATTGGAGTATGCAACTTGACTCAATCACCATTAAGCCTCTTGATGTAGGTAAAGTGGGCTTATTACTGATTTAGGATCATAAGAACATGAAGTTTGAGGGTAAGGCCTTTGCCCCTGTTACAGAGGCATTGGTCCCAGAGTCCAAACTAGAAGTGGGTATTCTGACTCTAGTCTAGGGCCCTCTTCTCATGCTCCATTTTCTTCCTCAGCACAAGGCTGAGAGGTCATTCACTTGAACACTCTAACAAGAAGGAGGGGCAGGTTTTAAGAAATCTGTTCAGCTTCGGGTCTGGATTAGTTGGTAGTTACACTGCCACCTCAGTGGCCTCGGGTAGAGCCATTGATGAATGCAGCTCAAACAGTATGGTTCTCTCACCTTCTAATGACCAAGCTGCTCAAAGGGAAAGGCCAAGAGTAATTAATTATATAAATGATGTGATCTAGTTTGGGACAGAGATAATTTTTTAATTCATTTATCTAAAACCACACCATGACTTAGAAGCTTACCCTTAGGCAATTATATTGAGAAAATTGTCCATTCTGTTTGGGGTTTCTTAATACTAATTATTTATTTTCAATTGTGAATCATTGCTGACAAAAGACTTTGGGGAGGGAAGTGAACTGCTTTCAAATGAGCTACGAAACTATACAGCTATACATTTTGTAACCATGAATTAAATATTTATATAATTTTACAGAAGACTATTCAAGAACAGAGTGGAGGTTCTCAAAAGATTTTAGTGCTTCCAGGAAAACTGTTGACACTTGAATAGTTTATTTGTTGTTTACCATGGCGTTATTTAAACATCAAAAGTTCCTTTAAAAAGAAAGGACATTTCTCTCCAAACAGGATATACAAATGGCTAAGAGACATATGAAGAAATGCTCATCATCACTAATCATCAGAGAGATGCAAATTAAAACAACAATGAGGTATCACCTCACACCAGTCAGAATGGCTGCTATCAACAAATCATCAAACAACAAGTGTTGGCGAGGATGTGGAGAAAAGGGGACTCTAGTACACTGCTGGTGGGAATGCAGACTGGTGCAGCCACTATGGAAAACAAAATGGTGTTACCTCAAAAAATTAAAAATTGAACTTCCATTTGACCCAGTGATCGCACTTCTAGGAATATACCCTAAGAAGCCTGAAACACCAATCAGAAAGAATATATGTACCCCCATGTTCATAGCAGCACTATTTACAATAACTAAGATCTGGAAATGGCCCAAGTGTCCACCAGTAGATGAATGGATAAAAAAGCTGTGGTACATATACACAATGGAGTACTACGCAGCTGTAAGAAAGAAAGATCTCTTATCCTTTGAGACGACATGGGGGGACCTGGAAAGTATTATCCTAAGCGGAACAAGCCAAACAGAGAAAGACAAGTATCATATGATCTCACTTATTTGTGGAACATAATGATCATAACAGTCTGAGGAATGGGGTAGTCCCAGAGACGTGGAAATGGGGTACAGACTGACAATCTCCAGAAGAGGGGTGGTGGGGGAGAGATAAACCACAGAACTTATATGCATATATGCATAAACAACGGACATGGACAACAAACTGGGGACAGGGCAGGGAGGGAGGGAGAGGGGGGAATCAGTGGGGGGAAAAGGAGAAACATTTGTAACAAAAATTAATAATAAAAAAAAAAAAGGACATTTCAAAACTTCTCCAAATTCACAGTGCCCCTTTTTTTTTTTTTTTTTTTTTTTTTTTTTTTTTTTTTTATCCTCACCCGAGGACATTTTTCCATTTTATGTTCAGGTAGAGTGGGAGGGAGAGAGAGGAACAGAGAGAGAGAGAGAAACATCGATGTGAAAGGAACACATCGAGTGGCTGCCACCCTCACGACCGACCAGGGCCGGGGACAAACTGCAACCGAGGTACGTGCCCTTAGCGGGAACCGAACCCGGGTCTCTCAGGACCGCAGGCCGACGCTCTAACCGCTGAGCCAAACCGGCCAGGGCCACAGTGCCCCTTTTCACTGTATTAGAAATGTAGTTTTCAAAATGGAATATTCTACCTGTCACCCAAATCTTCATTAGTGGAGACTTCCAAGGGAAACCACGTTGAGGACTATAACCCCGTGTGATGAAACGAACACAGTTCAAAAGAGAGTTATGGCCAACCTCACCAGTGAGGTTAACATGGGGGAAGGTTGAGTTCTTTTGCTAGGTCTCCCAAAAAAGTGTAGCCTTATAGAAAGAGAATCCATCAGAAAGGTAAGTCCTTACTGACAATCAAACGAAGAAGGCCCTTCGCCCAGGAATAAAATGTCTAATGGCGGAGAAGCCACAGCGATGACAGCACTTTGAAAGCGAAATTCCCTCATCATGTGAAAATATTTAAAGGAGGAACTCTTCACTGCTGTAA